ACGTTTTCCTATCTTTTCAACTGTATTTGTTGTTGCCTCTTCTTGATGTCTGTTTTGCTAACGTTATTATTCATTAAGTTTTTCGTAAATTTCACTTTGCGCACACAATTGTGTTAACTTTATATCCTATCTACTTAGATGTGTTCATAGCAATTTGCTTTGATTAGTGGAAAGAACCCCTTGAGCTTGCACACTTAAGGAAGCTCATTCCTTCTCCTCTCCCATTGGTCAAAGGTAAACAGCTAAGTTAATTGCCCACACACACACACCGATGGACAGTAAAACTCGTGGCCTCTGGTACTGCACCGTCAGGGTGAACTGTATTGATTTTTTGAGTATTAAAAGGCGCCGATGTGCAAAGACTTGATCAATTTGCCGAGAAGCCTCGCTCTTCCTAATTTCGAATGAATTATTGATTTTTAAACACATGCCTCATTCCTCATTGGGAGTATTTCACCTTGCTGGGGGCTTGGGGGGGGGGGTTAGAATTGTACTCGGTGGTCTTCTGCATATCCTATATACTATAAGGACTCTGGTGATAGGTATACTAGGCTATTGGGCCTAAATTCTTTCAATCTCTTGCCACGAACTTCTTAATAGTGGCAAATTTGAACAACGCCATGATATTGGTTGGTAAGACCACTGTTTGAACTGCGATAAGATTGTGCAGTGATTAAGGAGAGGCCTATCAGTCCTCATTATCTCCAATTTAATCACTGGAATCTATATCTATCTCAATTTTTTTTACAAGATTTGAAAATCGTCGTTTCTAATGCAATGTCTCATCATAGTAATACATTTGAACATGGACAAGCACTTGAGCTTAGGACAGAAATCAAAATTTCACAATTGTGCTCGACACATTTGGAAGACGTTGAAGAAAATTTCTGTTGCATCTTCCTTCTAAGTAATGAATTTCAAATGCAAATAAGAGGCGGTTTCTCAAAGGGGGCTTGAATTCGGTAATCATTAGGAATCCGACTTTTAACCAGACTGTTATATTTTGAGTTAAACTATTGATATTTAATCATTAATGGCCTTAAAGATCTTCAAATTTTGAGTTGACTGACTAATAGAATAAATTGGTTTGGATGTTAGCTCAATAAATCAGCCTCTGGGGTAGATTGCCTACGCTTGCTAAGATTCTTGAGGCATATCAGCGGAGTTCACTAAAGGTGAATTCAATTACTAGCACTTTATTTATTTATATCAAATGGCAGGCGTTTTGGTGGTTATCATTAGCCCTTTAGTTGACTTTAGGCTTCATAGAGAGGAAGGAACATCGAAGAGAAACAATTCAACAGGGAGGGGGGGGGGCAGAAGAGTGTTTTAAAGATGTAAAAGAGACAGAGAGTCACACAAAGGCAGAGAAAGAGGTAAGATGAGCACTATAGAAGTGGTGGAATAAGACATATAGTGGGGTGATGGTAGTTTGAAGTGAGAAGTCAACTGCCGGTTAATAAACTTTTTTGCCGTATGAGTATACGTTGCCCAGGGTGCACCACATGGAGGTAAGTCTACCACGCGCCCCCTTACTAGCAATTGATCAACCGCCACTTCTTTACCTTTCAAGTACCTCCCCACTATCTACCACTTCTGCCATAAATGTGAGATCCATTGGCTGCCCTCAATTTCTTTGCTGTAAATAAGGCTCTCAAGCATAATCCCCTTCTCTACTGCATTAATACCCTTCTGGCTCGATAACTTTCAGTTGGCAATTCAGTAGCCATGATTGAGGGTTTCCCGAAATCCAAGAATTGAAACAATTTTTAGTGATTTCCGGTAACAATATCATCGTGTTGATATCTGGTTAGATAGTTTAAAGCAAAATAGGGAATTCATTTTTGTAGAAAGAATTATACAAAAAACAACAGATAAGTAAATCGCATTGAGGCACTTTAATGACGATTCTGAAAACAGATTTTTAAATGCAATGAACAAATTTGATGGCGTCCACAGTCTAAGGCAAAGTATAGGAGATCATGTCATCACTATAAGGGAGAAAAGACAGATGGAAGAAACGTCAGATAATCTGAAGGTTGGAAAATGATTATGCAAGGCAGAAGAGAGAGAGAGGGAGAGAGAGGATTATTCAATCTCCTCTTGCGGAAGACTAGAAGACCACTGAATGCTGTTCAGAGGTACAATTCAAGCTGATTGAGAGGATTCAGGATTTGCATGGGAGTTTGCGACTTCTACTACATTGGCATTAGTCCGTTGAATATGTTGCACGAAGAGCTCCCGAACTATCCGGATTCGAGCAACCTCAAAAGCCACAACCATTCGATGAAGGTCACGGAAGAATCTGCAGTCAAGGTGCTTCAAGAGATTCTCCAATTCGCCAACACCGTATCGTTTTAGGAGTTCCTGAAAATGAATTTAATATCGGACCATTAATTTTTCAATTTCCGAAATGGGAGACAAAATAAGCAACTTACAGCAAATCGGGCCTCTTCACTGAGTTCATTGGTATCTACATATGATTCAATAAATTGAGAATTTCCTTTGTCAAAATTTGAAACCGATTCTTGGAGTTTACGCAAGTCGAAGAACCAACTTTGGTGCTCAAATTCGACATTCTTCATACTTGTCGGAAACCAGAGGTCGGGATGATGGCGTTGGGTGTGAGGTATGAGTAGACTGGCAAAAAAGAAAGAGGTATGTTCAAACCAAAATTTTGAATCACTTAATATATAACTTATCTGACAATAGCTTTCACAATTACAGGACGTTTAAAAATCTCTTTGGCAAAGGCATTCCAGTAGATTTCCTCGAAAGAGGCAGGCAAATAGACGTCTCATTTATATCAAATGTCACAGGCTTTATGATATTTATTATTAGACCCTTAGTTGACTTCTGACTTCCCAGTATCTCTGGGTCTCTGTCGTTGTCTTTAGGGCTGGACACCGCATCAGGTGGGTCATCTCCATTTCCTCCTGTTGGTCATACAGGAGACATGCTGGTTGTGCGTATACTCAAAGACGTGAAAGAACACTCAAGCAAATTACTAACTCCTCTATGTATGCCACTGCAATTTGATACACTAAATGAAGAAGTTCAACGGTTAACTGCAATCCGACGTAAAACGACACTACGAACGATGGGCTGTCAAAAGCAATTGGAAACCACCAACTGCAAGGCCATATTGAAGGAGGGAGCACTAGTACTGAAGACAAGAGGTTTAGAGACTCCATTAGCCGGTAATATCGAAAACTCCAATTCCTGAAACCCGCAAATTCAAAAAGATGAAAATTACGCATTCATTTGCAGAAAGAACAACTAAAAGTGATTTGATTTACCAACAAGGTGATATTGACTGAGCAAATTTAGATTATTAACCGACCCACAACTGGAAATAAACGATGGTGACTTATTATTTTTGAAGACTAAATTCAAATAAAATGGTGAGATATTTAAATGTGGTAAGCAATTGACATCGAATAGGCAATGGAAAGGCGAAGACAAATGGTAACGTAAAAGCATCAGTCTTAATTCAGTTGATTTTTGGCTTCAAGTTGAATGAATTGCTAATATTTCCAAAATTTCCACTTAATTGTGCATCACCTGGTTGACAGAAAATGAAAATTTTCACAATTTTCTGCGCATATTGATCGATTTTTGTGCAAATCCGCGAATCGTTGCCCCAAATTACAGCGAATGCATGTTAACGATATGAATTAGTTATTGATAGGTAATTTTATCGATTGCCTAAATTATTTCTTCGTATGTTTCAGAAGTCCTTAGTTGGCTTATAGTTTTAACTTAGCCGAGATGAGAAAATAGACCTTAGGTTAGCAGAGCGCTGTAAGATATGGAAGCATCTAAAGAAGGCCTTCATCCGGCAACAAATAATTAGAATGAATAATTAAAGCGATTTCATTCGTGGTGTATTCTAAATAAGGTTTATTTTTTTGCCAACAGAGTTCACCACCGTTAGTAATAGTACTAGTATACCACTAATTTAGCCAATGTTTATCCCTTAACCCAAGTAGGATCCATTGAACATAAATCGCAAAATGGGTGTCTTGTCAATAAAAACCGAACACAGAGGTCACGTATTTGCATACAAATTGCCAATAATAATAATAATAATAATTTGCCTTTCACTTGTGATTGGAGGTTAGAAGCAAAGAAATTATGAGGAAAGATTTAACAGCAACTGAATACTCGTGATTCCAAAGAAACGGAATAATCGCATTCAAGAATAATGATGAATTTGTGCAGGGCACGCTGGTGTTCAAAAAAACTGACTGCTACAACTATCCAAATGGATAAAGGAAATTTCATTTGCAAAGATCTTAAAATAAACGAAAATGCGGAGTCGTAAGAGAATTGATAACCAAATTAGAATTTCACCTTGAACTAACGAGTTCTTGTTGTAGCCAAGTTTATTTAAATGAAACGGAGAAATCGTTGTTTTATTAAACATTCCTATCTTGAAGAATTTTATAATTTCCATCAAACCGCCTGTTTCAACGAAAATAACGGAGCGCTGTTTTGAACAGAGGAAGTAAAAGTGAATTGATTTAGAGGCTAAGTTGGCCTCTTTTAAATTAAATTCATTTCACAAGAAAATAAAATAAAATTTTAGAACCAGTAAACTTGTATATGCTATTCACTCGGATAAACGCTAACTTCGCAGCCAAAGAACTGGTAGCTTAAAAGATATCAAAACATTTTTAAATTCTAAAGAATTTTACGTCTTTCAGACAGAAATGTGCGCCAAATAAATCAAGAGATAGAAGCTTAATTAATACATTTTTGTTCCTATCACTTGGTGCATCCTGGGCAACGTATTATCATACGCAAAAAAGTCTATAAATCGGCAGTTGACATCTCACTTCAAACTACCTTGACCCCTCTGTATGCCATATTCTACCACTTCCACAATACTCACATCACGATTTTTCTACCTTCGTCTTTGAAGCATTCTTCTGTCCCCCCCCCCTCTCGACTTTTTAGCCACTTTGATGTTCCTTCCCCTCTGTGAAGCCTGAAGTCAACTAAAGGGCTAATGACAGCTATCAGAACCCCTGCCATTTGATATAAATAAATAAATATTCCCCTCCTCTGAGTAGACCGAAGTCAACTAAAGGGCTATTGATAACTATCATATAGCATATATTATCTGTTAAGGAAGGTTTCCCGATTGTACCCAACGCCTACTTCACCATTAACCAAATAAATACGTTGATCATTAAAGCATTCTATTGTAACAACTATATGTGATTGGAGCAGTTAACGCCAACTTACTGTCGATAGTAGACACAGTTTCCTCGTCTCATTTCCACACGTTCCCAACCAAGGGGTATCCGGGGTGCAATGACAGGGTGTTGCCAAGTAGTGGTTCGAGTTCGATTTCTGGAGCTCACTGTATCTCCACTCGGACAAGAGACATAGAAACGTCGACCGGAAGATGAGACCCCTACGGCCCATCCAGCTGGAAGGGGCAGAGAGATGTTGCTGTCCAATTCCAGAAGGTCCTAAATAAAGAAAAAATTGTTTTACTTTGTATATGTAAATTGGCACATCTGTTTGGCCATTCCAATTTTACATTTTCTGCTTGTAACAGTTCACATATTGTTTACTTTTTGGAGAAAGCATTATTATCCGATTAGCTTCAAGACTTAGACTTCAAGCCTAATTTATTGTACCACTAATTAAGCAGCGCTATTGAGTGGAGCTGGACTACGTTGATCAATCTCGAATACCAAGTCATGCATGAAAGTAACTAAGCTATCTCCTACCTTAATTTGGGCGTAAAAGTCGACTTGATCGGGCAGTATTAGAGCAGGATCTTGAGGAAGCATATCCAGACCGCATTCAACGTCGTTTGCTGCTTGTTTTCCACTACCTCCACCAGGAGATTCAGTATCACTTCCACGGCTTCCCCAAAGCTGCCTTTGAAGGGGCTCCACAGCTGGCAAACGTCGTTGACGCCTTCGACGTGGCTGTTGTTGATCCTCTTCATCGGAGACAACGAAAAAGTCATCTTCGTCCTCTTCTTCGGCTTCGTTAACTCTACCTGGAACGTATTGTCTAGATTGAAGTTGATTTACAGAAGAGGAAGAATTCAGTGAAGGGTTTCGTGGAGACACTAGTAGAATAAAGAAAATCGAATGGTAACTGCAACTCTAAATTAGATTTATCGTACTTCGCTCTTCCTTAATTTCCTTTAAACACACTGGTTTCTCTTATAAAGATTTTTCCATCCTACTCTAACTGCTCACCATTTCGTTTTATGGTGGTTTAGTTGAAGTCTAAAATTTTAGATATCTCAGCAACGACTAACTAAGATTGGACAATATAACTCTCTTTTCTCAAACTTTGGATGTAAATGAATTGTATTGACGAAATCGATTATAATTACAACGAAAAAACTTGCTATTTGGGGGTAGATAATTGATAAAAATGAGTTTAGAAGGCCAAGAGATGTAATCTGAAGGTTGGCATTAGACATACTTTCAAACGATTTAATTGAACTTTAAACAATAAAAAGCTCTGTGATAATCAATGATTCAAACCATCTACACTGTTGCGAACTAAGTTCGTATCCTACCATTTTGAATTCAGAACCTTGAGAAATGTGATGATTTTAACTGAATGATCCACACATCATGCGGCCAACCTTATTCTACCCACCTCATTCATTTTAGCAAAACTGGCCACACAGCGCATATCTTGACAATAGAAGTACAGCGAAATCGTGCAAATACCCGCACGTAGTCCCTGCAAATTTTGGCAGAACTGCTATTTTCTTCCTGTATTGTAATACTACATGCATTCTTGTTCCTTGGATTTCAATTTACTTGTTTTCTTGCAGTAGAATTCTGATATATGAAGTCTCTAGAATAATTCAATTTTAAGTCCTCTTTGAAAATCCGATAAAGGGCACGAATCACAGGTAAAATCAAATTTGCTGACAGCGCAAGTGCTCAGTCAGGGAATCGTGAGCAAAACTTACGTGTTGGGTGCCCTTTCCTATTACTGTGGGACTGAGGAACTGGAGCCGCTGCCATAGCAGAAGCAGCGGCCGCATTGTCTGCTGCAAAGATAGCTGCTGCGGTGGCAAAGTGATTAGCAGCTGCTCTAAACCAGCAAGCTGCAGCCGTGTTCTGTGGTGGTGGTGGGGCATAATAGCGAGGTGGTGGCGGTGGAGGTGGAAGAGGAGGCACATGAGGGGCTACCTGGTGGTACCATGCTGCACTCGGAGGTAAAGGTGGGGGACACCAGTAAGGAGCACACCAAGTTGCTGCCAGTCGATGTGCCAATTCGCTTTCATCCACTTTTAGCGAGGATGCCGAACCGTTTGAATTAACACCTGGCTGACGAGATGAAGACTCAGAGAAGTCGCCGTCACTTGCACAGTGGGTGATTGAAATCTTCGGTCTCACCTCGGTAACATTACGACCTCGAGATGAATCGGATGCAGTTGTAGTGTGGGAACTACCCTCCATTACTTCACGCCGATGTCTTCGTTGATGGTGGTGATGTCGTTTACTTCGTTGTTCGTCCGTTGTATCTGGACCAAACTTCGAATCGAGATATCGAGTGAAGTTTCTGAAACCAGCTGGGAGAATAGGTGGATGGGAACCAGACTCAGAAGCTGATTTCTGTCTTCCTGCATCATCTCCATTGTCTCTACCAGTACTTCTACCACTATCAGATCCTTCAGCGTTCATTGAGTCATTGTCGTCAAGGAAGAGATTAACAGTTGAAGAGGCAGGTGAAGAAGGAGCCGTGGTTCGATGGAGGTACCAGCTGAAAGGCCGTTGTTGAAGTGCTGCTAGAGGATCCGGATTTATTGAGGAGGCTGATTTGGGTGTGGTGGAGGACTGATTGTGTTGATGCATTGCAAGCATATTCCGTACTGCATGCAGCAAACAGTGTAGCTAAAATCATTAACAAGCATTTCCATAACCCCGAAACTGGAAATTCCAATTATGTTATTTTGAATTGTAAAAAAATGGTGAAGTGAAATATCTCAGAGGTACTACAGATGAAGCTAAAATGATAAGTCGAAAGTCAGCACTTTGCAGCTCAAGAGGAGATAATGAGTTGCGAGAACATTCACATTCACCTTTACAAATTCATTTATTGATTTACATGTAACTCATCTCAATATAAACTATATTTTGAAAAATAAAAGTTAATTTTTGTTTCGCATTTTTTATAATAGTTATTTTTGAACAGGCGTTGGTGTTTTAACTTCCTTCAAAGAGTCTCCTTTTTTATTTGCAAAGTTAACATTTTAAATCCTGAGAAATAAAATCAATAATTGAGTTTGTGCTGGTCATAAGCATGATAATGGACTTTTGGTGACAAAAAAACACTCAAATCAGCTCTGTTGAAACAAATTGTTGGCGTTCATCTTGTCTATTATTAGTAGGACTTCAAAAATATTCTTTTCATAACTAATTGATACTGGATATAATCAATCTTGGCCACACTTACATAATCCAATGAAAGGAAGTATTCTAGCGCCCTTTTCTATTGCGGCGGTATTTGCTTCAACATTAAACGGATTTCTGGCTGAAATAATAAATGGATGAAACTGATCGTGGACACAGAACATTTGCCGCCAGATTCAGGTCAAAGGGACACGGGAAGCATATGGCCAACTGCCACATGCTACTCGATCAACCTTAGATGATCTTGGACTAGGCTATTGAAATGCCTCTAAAGCTCAATTGATTTGGCAATACGCCGTGGCCATAATATGTCCAAAAGAAATGTTGAAATATTCTGTACGGATCTTTATCCACACGGACATTTTGAGAGAGAGAGACTAAATGTGAAACTTTTCTCTGTTTCAGTGTCTTCAAAAGATATTATTGAAGGATAAAAGTATACTGAAAAGTAGACAATTTAGGTTTCACCAATGAAAGATGATAAGCGGAGTACGTTAGACCATCATCAAGGAGATGAGAAGAGATGAATTGCGACTAGATGCCTCCAATTGGCGGGGGAAAAGTAATGCAATGCAGTACATTTGGAAGGGGTTTGTACAGAAAAATGGGAAATGGGGAGGGATGGCCCATGAGGC